ATATATATGCACACGTGTACATGTGTTTCTGGTCCTGGAAGGATCGCACATGCTCCAGCATAGATTTCTTGTCCGACAGAGTTTGGATGGTTGTCTTCCTTGTGGGGGCTGTGACATGAAGCATGGGCTCTCTACTCTGTTTTCTCTTATATACATATAGTTTCTAGACGAGATGCATTTTCGCCAGGAGGGGGTCGTCTTTGTTGCGCTTGATCTTGTCGCTCAGCTTGGTTGCGTCCTGGAAATGATATTCCTTTCCCTGCCCTAACTCGGTGTAACACCAAGAAAGGAACGAGGGACTGCTATGATACTCCCCTGGACCTTCTTGAGCTTCTCGACAGCTCCTTCAGCCTTCTTTAGGAGCTCGTCCGCTTTGGCCCATTCGGCCTCTGACAAGGTCGCTGGCACAGGAGGCTCCTCCTTCTTGTCCTCGATAGCTTGCATCGCCGTGGGCGGCGGAGCTGAAGCAGCCGCACTGGAGGAAGCGGGGCACAGCTTGATCAAGTCCTCCTCACTCGGCTCAGGCCTTTCCATGGAGACCGACTCGAACAGCATCGCGAGTTGTGCGGCTTGGGTGCCGGACACTTTTGTAGCATCGGACTTGATCGATGCGGCGTGATTCCGCTCGTCCATGGATGTGGATCTCAAGGTTCGCCATTGACAAAACACGACGCCCACCTGGGTTACAACGGAAACTTCAAAACTTCATCATTCAAGATCGCTTGTCGCAATCCGTCATCCGTGAGCCCAAAGCGCCCTTTGAACAACGTGCGGGGCAGTCCTTTGTCTCCCCATCCTGTGGCCTGCTTCTTCACAAGACTGCTTTCCCCGGTCACTTCTGCGGTATCGCAGCTGAGGGCAAGCCTCCCTGTATCGGGGTCACGAGTCACCGTGTCCTCGATGAACTTGGTCAGCTGCTTCCTCTTGCCTGAGGCATTCAAAGCCTCCCACTCCGTCTTCAGAGTGTCTGGCACTGCTCCTGCTGCGAGCAACACGCTGAACTTCGTCTGCTTGGCTCGGTCTCGTCGACCAGTCGGTGGCTCTGGGGTCTCCTCCGGCTCTGCAGTCTCGGACTCCTCAGGCTCAAGCCCATTGATCCACTCGCCGGTCAAGGCCTCTGCCATGCTGCGTTTCTTGACCAGGGGCTTTGCCTTGGGCTCGGCCTTGGCTTTTGGCGTGGTCGGCTTTGCCTTGGGGTCGGCCTTGGCTTTTGGCGTGGTCGGCTTTGCCTTGGGGTCGGCCTTGGCTTTCGGCGTGCTCTTGGCCTTCGCTTTGGGCCCTTTGGGCTTGGCAGGGTCGGCCTTCGCTTTTGGCGTGGTCGGCTTTGCCTTGGGGTCGGCCTTGGCTTTTGGTGTGCTCTTGGCCTTCGCTTTGGGCCCTTTGGGCTTGGCAGGGTCGGCCTTCGCTTTTGGCTTGGCAGGGTCGGCCTTCGCTTTGGGGTTTGCGGGTGCTGCCTTCGCCTTTGCTGTGCTTTTCGCCTTTGCAACAGCCTTCCCCCCTGGCTTTCCTCCCGACGTCAGCACCGGCTGTCCTGGCTTACGGGTCTCGGCAGCTGGGGTCTCCTCCGCCTCTACCTCCTCGTCGTCTTCCTCTTCTTCCTCTTCTCCGTCTTGGAGTTCCGGTTCTTCCTCAACCTCCTCTACAGGCTCTTGCTCCTCCGCCTCCGCTCCCTTTGTCTTTGCCATGTCTCTGCGGGCACGATGTGGATATATGCACAAAAGAGTGATGTGCCAAAACGTCTTGTGCAAAAAAGTCTTCGGCAGAATGGGTTCCACGTCTCAGTGTCCATGAGCGAAATCCTCTCTCTCTCACACAGGTATACATGTGGAATCAGCATTTGTTCGACCTCTGTGTTATTATCATAGCAGTCCCTGTCCCTTTCTTGGTGTTACACCGAGTTAGGTCAGGGGAGGGGTAGTGTTATTATCATAGCAGTCCCCTGTCCCTTTCTTGGTGTTACACCGAGTTAGGTCAGGGGAGGGGTAGTGCTATATAGGTGTGTGGGGGGGGAAGGCACTGGAACAAACAATGGTAAAGGCAGAGGGTGTCGACGGCTTTTTAGGGTTTAAGGTTACAAGGGTATAGGGTGTTGGCTGACAGCGATGGGGTT